AGGCGTGTTGGTCGCAGCTGCCTTGGCCTCGCGCGGCTCGGGGCAGGCAGGCGCCGGCACGAGGGCGGGCCCGGCTGACGAGATGGTCAAGTGCAGCTTGACGGGTGAGATGTTGAAGACCACGCAGACTGCTGCACTGACACCGGAGGGGCTGCTGCTCCCCAGGGTTGGCTGGTACTGGGAGGGCTCCGTCGGCGGCGAGCTGGTCTGGGTGGTGAGGGAGCAGCAGCTGCTGGCCGCGGCAGAGGAGCCGGCGGCACTGTCGCTGCCGCTGTCGCTGATGCACAGGCGAGGGATTAGGCCGCCACTGCTGAGGCTGTCAGACAGGCTGCTGGCGAGGGTGGCGTCACTGCCGGCGTCGACGCCGAGCTCAGCAGACTCCTGGTGCTGTGCTGCCAGCCCGGGCGCCACGTCTGGGCTCACGTCTTCCACGGACGCGGTCACGGCAGTCGTCAGGAATGACTGCAGGCGGCACACCACCTGCTGACGCACGTGGCGGCCGGCTGGGCAGACGCAGCCGAGTCCGTTGGGCACAGGGCAGGCGGGCGCCCCTGGCGGGCTGCCGCTGCGGCGGCCGCCGGCGGCGTCCGGCGCCGCACGTGAGCGGCGTGCCCGGCCGCGCCTGGCAGCCAGCTGCAGCAAACCCACTGCCACCCCACCAACAGCTGCGGCGAAAGCGGCGGCAGGGGTGCTGGCGTCCGCCGCTTGCTGCCGCACAAGTGGTAGGTCGCCAGGTGGGTGGAAACGGTCAGGCGGACGCCGTCGGCGTCGCAAGTCAAGGTTGCGAATGGCGTGACGGGGCTGTGACGGCCAAAACCAGCTGAAGATTGATCCCGTGGGCTCGTGGCGGCGCGCACGCCTGCGGTTGGGGGGTTAGGGTGCGGCACGCCGCGCATGGGAGGTGAGCAGCGACAGCAAGGAGTGAAAGATGGGACTGCCTGGCACGGCCACAGCGCTGATAAGGCTGCACGCTGGACGCAAGGAAACGCAATCACTTCAATATAATTATAAAAGTGGTGAACGCCACGTAGGACTCACACGTGACCGCATTCACCAGGCCAACCGCAGGCCAACCAACCCTCCCAGGCCTCTATAGGCAATCAAACCTGCTTCTATGGTCATTGATAAGACTGGTAACACTCACCGAGCGTCACGGCGCTGCCTCTGGTCCTCCTGCTCCTCCGGGCTAACCTCAGCCACCACACTCACGGGTTGCAGCGGCGTGGTGTTTAGCTTGGCCGAAGAGAACCACAGCATGGTATTCAAGAAGTAACACGCCCCCATGGGGGCGCTGTGCCGCGAGTCCATGATGTGTCGTCGACGGTGCTGGCGGATTTTGCGTTCTGTGCAGGGTCACAAGACTAATGTTGCTGTTTATGAGCATTGACACATGTTAACGTTGATTGAGCTGTGCGGAGGGAGAGGATCGAACATGCTAGTTGCCCTGGCCGCTACGCTGCTGCTTCTCAGCTGCCCAGCAGCAGGTGGGCATGGCTGCTGCTGTTATACCGAGCTGAGCGCTGGGTAGCCTGCCAGATCCCATGAGTGCTGTTGAATTTGGTTTATATGATATTGTCAGGGTGCTGAGCTCCGGCGCAGTCTTGCTTGCATGGCGCGCTGTGCACGTGGCCCTTCCACTTGCCATTGCTGCATACAAGCCAAGTGTCCTCTCACGGGGACGCAGCACCAAGATTCCACCATTAATACAGGTGTTGTGATTGGAACACTTCAGAATTCAGTACAAGAAGGATGAAGAAATTGGTCCGATTGATCAATGCGCCAGGACAGTCAGGCAGGAAAAGCTGCCGACGCGGACAGCAGCAGCGACAGCAGCGGTGGCAGCGGCAGCAGCAGCAGCGGCGGCAGCAGCAGCAGCGGCGGCAGCAGCAGCAGCAGCAGCGGCAGGAGAAGCTCAAAGCTCGCTCCTGTCGGCTGTGTCGGAGGGGCAGCTGCCGCCATCACACTCCCCTAAACCCTCAGCTGCAGCCTGCCGCGCCACCGCCGCCGCCTTGGTCGCCGCCGCCGCCTCGGCGGCCGCCGCCTGTTCCCGCGAAAGCCTGCGTGTGGGGCAAGGGCGCACGCGGGGCTTTTGGGCCCGCCTCCCCGCTGCTTGGTCTTGCTGCGTGCAGCGGGTTGCTGGGGCGCACATGTTGCGCCAGGTCTAAACCCCTATCTACCATCCTGCCACGCAGCCCTTTCGCCCTTCCACCCACGGCAGTGCGATCGCGCGACAGAGAGTGACGCCGCCAACAGCATCAGTGGAGGGTGTAGCACACGCCAGCGGGTCAAGTCATTGTTTGGGGAGGGGGGGGGGCGGAAGGGGGGATGCCTCACCTGTCCTCCGCGGCCTTGGTGAACGCCTCCTGCTCCGCGTCCAGCGCAGGCCACTCTGCGATGATGCGGCGCGCGGCCTGGAGGGCGGAAGGTGCCAATGCAGAAGGGGAGGGAGCGATGGGGAGGGTGGGAGGTGTTTCGGAGGCTCACTTGCAGGCGCATCGTCCATGGGAACCGAGGGCCAGGGGCCGGGAAGGGCAGGTTGGCCAGGTGGGCGCAGGCATGGGCACGAAGCAGCGGCTGGCCAGCCCTGGATTGGAAGTAGTGGCGTCATCACCAACGGGAAGAAGCGAGCAAGCTCCCAGCCCAGCACTCCCCAGGCGGTCAGGCCGTGGATGGCCCGACTGGCATCCATAAGCGCTTGGCATGAGCGCCGTCCGCGGCCGTGTCCCCCCACCTGCAGCTTGGGCTCCTTGGTTTTTGGGTTGTTGCAGAGATCAATAGTCTTGGCCTGCAGGGGTGTGTTTTTGGGGTTAATAGGGGCAGGTGGGGTGGTGGGCTGAGCGCAGCAGTGGGTGGGTGGTGAAGAAGATAGTCAATTGTGTTGGGGGTGTCATTGCGCCAAGGCTGGGGCCGCCAGGTCATCGCAGGGTTTCAGTGCAACAGGCAAGAAGCAGCGGCATGTCGGTGCAAGAAGGAATGGGAGCAATATGCGACCAAGCTTGAGCGCCTGGAAGTGATGCACGTCTGCGGCGCCAGCCACCAGGCCCCAAATGGCCACGAGCATTTCACAGCCCCCACTGCCCACACTTCATGCCCCCCCTCCCACCTTCGCCTTGGTGGTGTTGCCGCACCAGCTCTCGCACCAGAGCCACTCCTGCGGCAGGCTGTGTATGGGTATCTGGTGCTGCGCGTAGTTTGGCAGGTCCTGGTCCAGGTTGGCCAGGCTGTTGGGGTCCTTGGACAGGTTCTCATACATCACCCTGGGGGGTGGTGGTGGTGGGAGGACAAGCGGTTGTGGGGCGGGGTGGGGGGAGGCGGTCCTCAACTGTGTGACATCATGTGTGAATCAGAATGTTGTCATGGGTGTGCGCAAGCGCCTTGGGTGTGCACCCAGGGGCCAATGGGGGGCCCACGCGCCCCGGCGTCTGGTTGCGTCAGGCGCAAGCACGCCCTGTGCACGCTCCCCTCCGGCACGCGCCTGTAGTTGTCCCCAGCGGCCTGCTGCCTGAAGCGCTGCAGGTCGATGACGTAGAGCGCGCTGATGTGGTACG